GAATGATCCTTGCGGTCACCCTTTCCGGCTCCGTGCCTTCTTTTCCTGCCTTCGGCGGGGTTTCGGGCTGTAGTTCCTCTGGCTCCCAAGGCTCTAGGCCGGGCTGGCTGGTCGGGTGCCCACTCGCGTTGGGAGATCAGCGTAGGTCGCTCTTCCGTCCTTGCGAAAGAACTTTCCCGGTCTGTGCACTTGCGAGCAGTCTGCTAATATTTTCATCCCGCATGAAACGTGTTCCGTTCGGGGCACTTGCTGATCCGGCCATCTACCCTTCCTTCTACTTTTTCTTTACTCTTGGTCTACCTTCTTTCCGTTTGTCAATCTGTACTTGGAGTACTGGCTTTTAGTTGCTGGAGAAAGAATTTGCTAGACGGTTCTGCTAGACGGCACTCATCTCCAGGATAGCCCAGAACCGACGATGTTGTTGACGTGATAGGTACGCTTAAACTTGTAATGGCTCAGCGACTGCATCACGCACGTGTCAGCTCATCCCGGGCAATTTCGCAATCAGTTTTCGTTCTGCAAAACAAATCGGACGATTGACAGATTGACAATCTTAGAGAACGTAAAAAGTTTCCTGCGGGTTGCTGGCAAGGATCAACCCCTAGTGTTTGGTGCGGTTCCGCCTCCAAGGAGGGTTACGATCAGGTGTCACGGCTTTTGAGCCACCTCATTTTTAGGCATCTTTTAGAATTGCACTCAAATGATGATGCCAGCTTTAATCGAGTCTCTTACGTCCGCGCACATCCCTGGCAGTGCTCCGCATACGGTCCTGATCAGCTGCGCTTGCTAACGCTCTCTAATTGAATCTGAGCCTAGCAGGTTTCGGCACTGGCTTTGAACCATCTATCTGAAATTCTGTCACTTTGTCATTCGAAGTTCTCTTACTCGAGGCGGTTCTCATGCTGAAAGTTTCTCGTGACTTCTCAGGATCGGCTCTGGTGTCTTCTGCTATGATTGATAATCAGTAATAAAGAAGAAGCTCAGAAGGCTGTTTGGGCCAGAAGTTCGGAGGGGCTCTTAAAAATTTGGGACAGCGGCAGCCTGCCATTCAAGCCGCTGCACGCGGCATCGCGCGCGCGCTCCATGGAGCTCGTTGCCTGAGCATTCGAATTTTGAGAAAGTTTCAGAACTTGTTCCCGTCTGGGCGAGGACAACTCGATGATGGTGCCAGAAACCGTGCAGCCAAGAACGTTAACTATAGGACGTCAAAATAACGTCCAGAGCTCACCTCAGGAACGACAAGGAGAAACTTGAAAGCATATCAACAGATCGGTTTTGGCAAGCATCCACTGCGATCCCACGCGAGGCCGTCTGATCGTTTCTCTTGCAACGGGGAACACGCACCTGGTTCTAGGGCTAATCCACGTTTTCGGCGGTGATTTCGAACCACAACCCGCCATTGAAATTATAAGAAAGTATGCACAACCTACGTTCCAGGGACTGCCGTTCGCTCTTTAGGGCCTCTTTCGGCTCCTTTTGGTGTTCCTCGCTCAAACTGTCCTACTCGTACTTTTGTTCTCGGTGACGGTAATCCCCCGGCTTTTAGCGGATTGCGAGCGTTTGGGTTTGACTGCAAGTGTCAACCTTCGTCTGGGAGCTGTCGGACCGAATCTTTTTCGTTCATCGACCCGCTCCGCTTCAGTTCTGCTGCTTTCAACGCGTCTTTCCTTCTTGTGCTCGCGGCCTCTAGTCCGCTGTTCCGTCCGCTCCTTTCCGTCGCAACCGTCCTGATCGCCGCTCATCTGCAGGCTCGACCATCCGTTCCGGGCCATTTCCCCTTCTATTAACAACGTCCTCCTGTCCTACGTCCACCAATCTTCAACCGTCAACTTATAGCTGTTTGCCTTTGATTCATTCCCTTTCTGATTTTCGGCGAGCCGTTTCTTTCTCGTCGTTGCGTCCGCGCTAATGTTATCTCCCAGCCGTCTCACAGATTTCCGATTCCCGTCTCCTCTCACTGACGTTGCGTTGCATATTGAATCCTGCAACTCAGACTACTTGGCGTGTCCTGTCTTGTACCCCGTTCCTCGCGTGTCTCGCTTCTCGCTTCTCGATATTTGGCTTCCATATGACTCACATGTGACTCATGTGAATTATGCGACTCATGTTTCAGTGACAGTTTGTCGACCTCATTTCTTTGAATCACTTCTTCAGTGCACCGAGGCAAATCTCCAAGTTCCTTTCGAAGCTTTTGGAAGAGGCGTGAGTGACTGCCAGTTAATTCCAGCCACGGATGCTGGATTACCATCTATCCACCTCACAGGCTCCAAACGTTCACCTGAAGATACATGTTGTGGGCCCACCAGGACGGTACTACTCGACAAGCTTTTCGTTTCATGAATCCATTGATGACTCCACCCAGCTTTCCCTGCAGGCTACCAGAACTCTCACAGAGGCCTCCGTTGCAGCCCTCCACCCTGACATCTCCATCTTCTGCGCGGGGTCAACTCTTTGTCAGCCAACCCGTTTCTGCCACGTCATCAAGATCCGCCGTGACGTCCGCAATTGAACGTGGCGCCATCCTGGCTGGCTCTTTGATCATGCTGCTTCAAGCTTCCTCCCCTCAGGATCGGAAGCGGTACGGTATCATGCAACCCCCTGTCACACGGTAACATGTTATGTCTCTTAGTCTCTTACAAGTTTGAAAAGGGGACCAGGGACTCTCGTTAGGAACCACCGTCGCTAAAACTCTCAAGTCCAAAGGTTGCGAGATCGTACAAAGGCACCTAGACGTGGGATGGAGGAAACATCTGGGATAACTTTGTTACGAGTAACGGCAAAGCAAATCGCAGCTGCGCACCGGCATACTAATATCACGGCAGCGCAGCCAGTGGCGGCCGGCCACTAGGCTTACCTGACGGTTGATCGGAACCGTTGATCAACAGGTCTGTCTGATCAGTCACGTGCAAAGATCGTGAGTGCATTCCCATTCATTCACGTCGAACGAGGTGCAAAGGCATCGAACTCGTATCCTTCGGCGCGTGCAGTGCCAATGCATTCACGGGCACCATATTTTCAGCGCAAGGAATGATGCAATATATGTGCACGGCATGAGCGTACTTCAAATCTAGCACACGTATAATGCAAACCTGCATGCTATAGACACAGAGCACCTCGTTGGATTGCTGTCCCTGGACGTGCAACATTGTGCATGGCGTATATAATATGCTGCTCGACACAAAAAATTCCGACACATGTGTGTTCCGCAGGCTCAGGTGCAACATAGACGGTATGTACGAGCCGTTGTATTGGTGCTGGCATGTGACTGATAACACCGTTCAAGGCCCGTTTAAGGAGCTAGGATCGGGATGCATCGACTGGACTCTGACCGACACGGGTATGATGTTGCAGAATGGGTAGACTACTATTAACATTTAATTACTTTATCAATGGCTATCGTCTGCAGCTCATGCACTTATCGAACGCCTGCATGCGGCGCGGCCGCGGGGCGCTGAATGTAATTGGGCCGGATCCACCGCGGGCGGCCTCACCCGGGCCGGCCAGACAGCTCTGCGAACGCCGCCAGAAGCGAGCTTCGAGTTGAGCCCGCACATCATGATATAGCGTGACAGTCCTCATGGGCCCGAGGTGGCCGCGCTGATCCGCACTATTCCATTTGCACACTTGCGATGTCAGTGTCGAGTGGCCGGCCATGCACCTTGACGTATAGTTTTCAAGGCCCTAAACAGGGAGAAAACTCAACACTATGGCTTAATGGATTCGATCAACCATGGTTCCGTGTCAACAGCAGCCTAGAACTATAGGTATTGCATGCCGTGCATCATTGGGCTCGCAGTCACTGCCAGGCTGAGGGCCGCGCGCTGATAAGCTAATTGATCTCTTCTCAGAAGTCAACTATGGACCAGATCGGATGACATGAAGCTAGCTACGCGCGCCGCGTGGCCCGCGATTTCACTACATACCAATGCATCGATGCCGCGCCGCCTGAGCAAAGCCAGACGCGCTGCCATGCAGTCACTACTCTGGCACCATTAGGCTGCCCTGTCAATACCGTACGCGGCCGGCATGTTAAGCCACGTACATGATGCACGACTGGCAGCGGGGCACGGCTGGCCCTGGCTGCCGCACTGCACCGTATGCAATACATGTACGCCACGTTGGGTGCGCCCGTCCAGCCGCGTATAATGGCAGTACGTTGCATATTCAGTACTAAGACTCGTCATTTTGGCAGACTTTGCAATTCACATGGCATCATCGAATGGCGCGGCCGCCAACAGATATCGGGCCTGGCACCAATGATGGCGGTCGCAGTCTATATCTCTCGGCCCAGTCCAAGAAAGTAGCAAGTTATCAAGCTCATTGTCACTCTCGAGCCCGGCCGTTGATTGACTCAGTGCATGAGGTTGATATACCTTGTTTTCAAAGACAAGCTCGGCGGATCCTGGTACGGGACTGCTCGAAGTACAGAACATGCTGGCTGACTCGTGTCTTATTACAATTAGGAAGTTTACATGGGGCGTTTTGGTAGCTTCGTAGCGCCCGGTAGCGACTTGTAGCGTAAATTCACGAACCCGGTACATAGCGCTACTGCAATAGCTTGGTACTTGGCTGAAACGCTGTTTACATGAAGCCGGCTCAGTAGCACGATTACAAAAGTTCGGACGGTCATGGACGGTCCGCACTGCTTGATCGCTCTTCAAATCTGCCCGGTCGATGTCCAAGATTTACGCTACGTGCGCTATGGGACAGTAGACCATCGATTTCGATGGTCTAGCGGAAGGCCAAATTTGGCTGCGCTAAGGGACACTACGCAACGATACTGCGCTACGGAACCTCTCATGTAAACTCCTGCAGCGCCGTAGCGCCGGAAGCTCTCAATATTGCGCTACCGGCCGACGGTAGCAAACTTCCTAAATGTTTCAGAATCCTGCGCATAAGGAGTACGACTGTCCGCTAGGTTCTTCGATTGTCATTCGAGAATGCCAGTGCCGAATCTTAGCACGCTCGTCACCACCCTAAGCGGTCCTCTCCTCAATTTGACGGGCTTATGGTGTTTCGTACGCTTGTAACCTTATCCGCTAACCTTCCCTCGTGCTTCTAGCTTCGGTTTCCGACGGGCAGCCGCTGCCAGCTTCCTTTCTTGCAACACGCTCTTCTGGCACATGACCACTTCGTACACCGACTGATCTCCGAGCTGCAAAGAGAGTCAGATTTGGCATCAGGACTTTGAACAATCCAGAGCTTCCTGCTAAGATGACATCCCGCTGCTGTGTCGCTTGGGATCACAACTAACTGGCGCTTATGGCTGGATGACAGAGCCTGTTTGCTGTTTCACCGATACCTCGAAGCCTGAGAGCTCTGCTATGACTTGAAGCACACCTGTCATGAGACACGGGGTCTTTGAACCCATCGAAGGAGACAGTGCTACCAGAAATTATTCGAAGACTGCAAAACGTTTAATCAGGACTGCACGATTTGTCTTCGGTAAAAGTTATTCTGAACACCTTCAAATTCAATTTGTTCAAAAAAACTCAACAGGTTAGACAAGGCCCTGGGGTTTTGCATCTCCTTCAAATACGCAGAAGTGTTCAGATGTAAGACGTGCTTCTAAAGATCTGACACAAGCGAGGCCAAAACTCTCTGGGCAGGAGCGAATCTATGTTCCACCCTAGCATCAACACCCAGACTCAACTGAACGACCATCCAGACTCAACTGAACGACCATCTATACATGGCTTCTCTTGAACGCAGCTTTGCTGCAACTGCAGGTCTCGAGGATCCGTCTCGATTCCTTCAGTTCTTCTCAAAGGCTACAGCCAGGAGGAAAGTTCGATGGAAACCATTGCTGTGAAGAGGCACATGTATGAGGATCAACTCGTTATATGGGAGGTACTTCTACGTCCGTCGCTACAGCTCTTGGATCGGCCGCTCCCAGGAAATTGTAGACTACACGAACCATTCCTCCGGCCTAGGAAACTTTCTGAAAGAAGAAAAGAACAAGTCTGCATGGGCCCTGAACTTTGAAAGAAAGGTCCGGTCTGCGAATGTGGACGCACCTTGATGAAGTTCTGCACAGATGGCGAGTCCGGCCACTGCCCCCGCAGCCACCCGCGGGTGGCCACTCTGACACCCAAAGCTGCCAGCGCAGTCGAAATCAGCTTTTTCCTCGCCTCCTCTAGTTCCTGGCTCCTTAGATTGTGGAGCTCCAAGTGCCGAATGTGCTCCAAAGGGATGGAAGCCGTGTGCTCTCTATGCATCAGATACTCCAAGAAGACTCCCTCTGATTCGGGGACGCTGTCCAGCAGATTCTTGACGCTGGCAAGCTCTGTCTCATTGATGATCCAGAAAGGGGTATCACCCGACGTAGTAACCTCCAACTCCTGCGCCGACTCCAGTGCGGACATTCTAAACTGTTTAGCCTTGAAATGTGCTTCAATCCAGTCCATTCGACAATCCAGCATGGACTGCCGTGCACGGATCAAGTACTCGGAGTCAGTTTGTACATCCCCAGCAGGCCACAACTCTTCAACCTCTGCATCGTCAACCTCTGCATCCATCAGATTGACCTCCCCTTCGCCCTTCTCAATACTCTCAGCTAGGCATTTGATCTTTCTGGCGGCTGAAAATGCGTCAAGGCTTTGCTTGACGGTCAGATCACAGCTGTTATTTGCTGGGTTTGGCGCCAGGGCAGAACTCAGCACACTCCGGACTCTGCAGGTTTCTATTGAGAGACCCGCCCCCGGATCAGGCAATACCTCTCTGTTAAGCAATTGGCCACCATCCCAACCGTCATAGAGTCCAATCAGGTGCCCATTCAGGCAGCAGTACCCGCTCACAGTCACGCCTTTGCCTTCATTCTGCTGGTAATCCAGGTCCCCATCGGGCGGCAACGACTCGGTGTCGCAAATGGGGTTCTCAGAAAGCGCAGGAGGGAGGCGCACCAAGGGCGCCCGGCAGTATGTGCACTGATCCTCTGCAGATTTCTGCATTTGCTTCTGTTCATAGCTGGACGTGTTCAAGTACGCCCTAGCTCCTATTCTCCTTGCAATTGCCGAATACTCAAAGTGTCGGATCACGCCCCGGAAGACCATCCCCAAGAGTCCTACAGAGGCACGATGCTGGATTTGCTGCTTGTGCAGGCACGGCGCGCTGACAAAGAAGTCTTCATTAAAACACTGTTCTACCAGACCCAGGTCTTTGATAATCTGGGGCCCAGTCTGGAAGCCGCTTGCTGTCTCATGCATGTGCCCCAGAATGTTCTGACAGACACCAGGGAGCCTCCTAGACAGCTTGCGGCTGGCACTTGTCTCTAAACCAGGGCAGTAGAGCAACAACTTATAAACGCCATTCCAACCCCCCGTTGGAATAGCCAGGGTTCCGCTGTACCATATGGACTTGCAGAATCCCGGCGCAGCTTCCAAGCAGAGCTGCCTCCAGACGTCCGTATCCATGTTCCGTCGCCAGTGTTTACATACGCACGAAAGGGCTGCCAGATGCATAGGGCTTGGCCCCAGTCTCACAAAGATTGCTGCGAGCAGCTCTTAGCTCAGATCTTCCATTGCAGTGCCGGCGTTCCGTTTGACTGACGCCATGGAGCTCGGGGCAACACTTGGAGACGTCTCAAGAGTTGAAATCCCGTTGAGAGGCAGCCTTGCTGCTTACGGTAACCCTTCTTGAGCCAGCGTCAAGGCAGTTCGTTTTCCTGCTCGATGATAAAGATCTCATCCTTCATTCAGGACTTCAGGACCAATGCATTGTATTGTGTGCATTGTGTGTAATGGCAAATGCAAAATCTGGGCGATCATTGCGCTGCAAGGTATGTGACCCCCAACTCGTGAGCTCTGATTCAGAATTAGGAGAGGAGGAAACATTGCCATTGGCAAGACGGCTTCGTCGCAAAACAATCGGGGAATCAACACCGGGTTGGAAGGAGCGGTATCAAGAGCGATAAATGGGCCTCGGTCATTTAGCGAGAAACCGGTTGGAGTCTGTTAACCCCAACCAACCTACCAAGCTTTAACTAACCTACTACCTCGTTACTGCGCGGCCGCCTCAGCCCAGGCGTCCAGGCCCCAATTACACGCCGCATACCGGAACGCGTCACGTACGCGCGCGTATGCTGAGAGTACCTATACCCAACCAGCCACACTACTCGCGCGCGTTCGACCTGCAGGCTGGCAAATGCCCGGACGTACCATTCAGTACGTTCACTTTCCGCGTACACTGTACTGTTGTCTGCCAAGCGGCAGGGCTCGGGCCGGCGCGACCGGCCGGGCGGGCTCTGTGCGCGGCTGTCACCGTCCGGCGGCACGGTACGGTGACCCGGTCTCGGTCTCGGTGACGGAGACCGCGGCCGCCGGGGTACGGTCGGGACTCGTCACTCGGTCAGTGCTCTGATGAGTGAGGCTGGCCGCTGCCTCGGAGTGAGGCTCGGATGATGGATCGAAGCTCCTAGTGCATGGGCTTGAGTCTGGACTCCTGGACTTTTGGATGTATCACAAGAAAAGATAAGCATATTAGCTCACGCTAAGATAAGCTCCGACTAACACTAGATCCTCGACCAAGAAAATACCCGATCCGCACCTTAACCTACCCTAACCACCCAAGCTAACCTTACCCTTCGAATTCGCAGTCTTATTGTCCGACGGCTTATATGACGTTTTATAACTCCGCGTTATCTTTCTTGAGTTTGATGACTCTGAAATCTGGGTACCACATGTCTGGCCGGCATGTACCGTAGTACTGACTTTCACTAACCGCACTATATATCCACGCAAATTCATTCTTAATTTCGAATCGGTCTTTCGTAATAGTAGGCTGCCAAGAAAGTTTACAATCTGTCTTCATATTAAAGGTTGAAGTTCAGACCTCTATGCAGTCCGGGAAGTTTTTGAGCGTCGGGCCGGCCGGACCAATCAGAAGTTTCTGCTTTATTTGATCTGACGGCAGTAAGAACTTCAAAAACTTTTCGGGTGGGCCATCCTACGGATCAAAGATCTTCAAGAACTTCAAGAAACTTCAGGCGGCATCATCCCGTAAAGACCGCTGATCATCGGACGGACCAGGAACTTCTCAAGATCAGCCCAGCTTTGCCGCCAAGGTGACAGATTTGACAATTCAGAAAACTTCCCAGATTCATCGACGGGGCCCTTTGAATCACAGAGACCATTCAGGAATCAAAGTCCAGTCTGAACTTTCTTCCAAAACTGCCAGTGATGCATGGCGCCAAGGCCTTGCCAGTTGCTCGAAGGGATGCCAAGCTTTTGCTTTTACAGGGAGACAGCCGCCCTGACTAAATGAAGCTCAGAGGTGCTTGCTAGAATCTCCTGTAGCAATCTTGCCTGCAGAAAGAATGGAGGACAGCGCAGGACATGCAGCTCCCGAAGTTGCTGAGATAGCATACAGTGGGACCTCTTTGGAGCCCTTCATACAGTCTGTTAAGCTGAAAGTTGGAGGCAAAGAGGCTTGTGAGAGCTACATCTTTGAAGCACCCAATCCAACGATCTCTGCAAAGCTCGAAAAGCCAGGACCTTCGTCTGGATATGATACCCTTTCTGTGCACCTGGGGTAGAGTTCTTCAAAGCTTGGGGCTGCACAGTCATTGTCCTTTCCTGGCAGAATTTTTTCAAAGGTTTCGTGCCTGAGAAGTTCATCTGTGTCCGCGGCTGTGGCAGGGCTACTGTGGTACGCAATGGCTGGTACTCTAAGCTGGTCTGGGCTTTAGGGCTTCACCGGCCTCTATTCATCCTCTCACAGGACTACCGATGCAAAGACTGCCATGCAAAGCCCGACGGCAAGGGGGGCTATGGCAAGCACCTTGTATCTAGCACACAGCGCAGAGATACGCAATCAACTGCGTCCATTCATCATGGACCAGCTGCCCATAGGCTTCACAGAAACGGGCGTGCCCGTGGAGCGCTCTCTACAGGATCTCATTCACTTTCTGGCTCCAGAAGCGGTTGGTTTTCCTCGCATTGCACGCCTTGTGAAAGAGTTGCACGTGTG